CTGCACGCACTCACACCAGCCCGACTCATCCAGCCATGAAGAAATTGGGAACATACGAAAGCACGCGATGTCCTCGTACCACTCTTCTCTGGAGTTTGCCTTGAGCCTGGTTGTGCTGGTGAACCTGAGTTTGTCAGCAGGTCAGGATTTTTTTAGAAAGCCTCCAATGGAAATAGTGTAACATGGTCTCAAACTGAGGCTAAGCAGAATTTAAGACCATGTAAAGTTAAATCCCATTAATGAGTCTAGTACAACATTTAAAAGGCATTGGATTCTGATAAATGGTTTGGGTAGCTGCAAACTAGGCCTTGCAAGCCTGGTATCTTATGCGCCTTCCTCTCAAAGTGGAATATGCAAAGTTTCTTTAGATATTTGGCTAGTCAGGGAGAAAGGGATGAGCTTTGCCCCTCCAGAGGAAACAGTTCCTGCTCTCAGGATCCAGAGCTCTGATCTTTACCTTAAATCAGGAACCTGTGAAGGAATTGGGCACTTAAAAGCTCAGGCTGCCTGGAGCGGACTTCATGGTTCTACCTCTTGAATCGCACAGCTCGACAGCAAGAGCCTGTTTTGCTCAGCCTGAGTGCATTCAAGGTCCTATCCCCATTTCTCAGTAGCGTTCATCAAATGTCTTGCTAAAGGTTAAGCTGGGAGGCCCTCTTCTGTCGAAATGGAGCATGCATGATTTACTGCACAGAAGGGCACAGACAGCAGCACAGCTCTGGGAACTACTGATTAGGACAGTCAGCTTCAAGCCCTGAATTTTGCTGTCAGCTTGTCGCAGCATCTCTTTCAGGGTTGAGTGTTGGGGGGGAGGCTGGAGTGGTTCTTTCCTCCACAACTGCCTAAGCAAACCTGAAAGCAGAAGCAGACTACTGAAAAAAATCAGCATTACCCAGTGCCACCTCCCTCTCCAGGAGCTGTAGGGCAGCTCGGTTTTAAGCCTACTCTTTTTTCCTGTCCTCTCTCAGCCATACAGCTGGGTTGTTAAAGCACTCCCTGGTGCAGGTTTGCATCTCCTCCAGCTGGGAAGGGAATCAAAGCCACTTTCAGGCTCACTCTTCTAGCCACTGCATAAAATAAGGGCTTGTCATACACCTCCATTTGGAAAAAAAAACCAAACTACAAATGGGGGGAGGGCGGAGCAGCAGACAGCTGATACTATCCATGTATTTTACAATTATTCTCATCATGTCACAGATTAGGGCCCTCGGGACATGCTCTGCTTAGGGGTTGGCTCTCAGCAGGGTTTAGGATGGAGCTGGAGAAGGAGCCTTTTGAAGCAGGGCAGGTCAGCCCAGTGCACCACGCTGAGCTCCAGGCAGCACAGAACAACTCATACTGAGCTTTGTCCCAGGATTACAATGGAATTACGGAGTTGGCACCTGAAAACCCTCTCAGCCCTGCTTTAGCTGTTTAAGTCTTTCGTAAGGCCTGATTATTTTTGTACAACAGTTCAGACCTTTATTCCATTGACACGATGCAGCCTAACAACAGTTCCTGCACTGGTATATCCAGACATGAACCTGTAGAACATCACTGACCCTTTGTCCTTGCCATAAGCAATGCAGTAAAAAACAAAGGGGAAAAAAACCCCACATTAGTTGAAAATCCCATTTCAGACTTAATTAGCAAACTTTTTTTTCACTCTCAGAAGTAAAGATTTAAACCAAAGGACTCAGATTTGTTATCTCCTCTTTCTTACCCTGGCTGAAAATCAGTATCACCTCCATTTAAGTCAGCAAAGTGAAAAGCAGGCATGGGAGAAGGATCAGTTCTGACTGGCCAACACTGAGACCCTTTCAAAACCATCCAAACACAGAGTGCATGCATAAAATTAACTAGTGAGGTGTACAAGCTGTAACTGAAAGCTTGTGCAAGTCAATATTTTTGAGGTTGTCCCTTCCTACTATTTCCTAAAACAGCTGTGTCCAATATTTCTGTATTCCTTTCTTGATTAGCATATTGCCCAAAGGAATGATGATAACCCGCTGCCATGATCAGATCACCTGAGAGACTCTTACTCTGCAAACCATCTTTCATCGGAATTATTTTAAAGATAGCAAATAGCTGCTTCTTCCACCTGTGATAAAAACATAAAATAATTTAAAATACTTTACATGAAAGAAAATACTTTGAATGTTGATAATTTACTGCAATAAACCTGTGGTAGTTACATAATCACCTGCAAATGTGCAAAGGGAGCCTTGACTACACAAACCCATTGCTTTTATATGAGGAACTCTGAAAAATGGGGTTTAAATTCTATTTAAACAATCAAATACATGTGCTGTATTACTGGCTCAGTGGCTGAAATAACACCATGTATAAATAGTAATACATCCACATAAGTAAAAATCGGTATTTCATCTAGTAATGTCAAAGTTCTTTATGAGCATGAATTAAGGCTTACAACGTCTGTGTGAGGTTGATGCTATAGTATCAAATTGATACGTAATCTGAAGTCAAGACAAGTACACTCAAGCTGATGGGTCTAAAATCTCCAACCCATTCACTGTCAGGGCCCTGAGGTAATTCTCTCCCTCCTGGGGGTTTGGCTGCTTGGGCTAAGACCCAACCTCCACAAGCAGCTGTCAGGCCTTGAAACGGTTATGAAGAAAGAGCTCTCTGAGAAAAAGCTGGAAAATGCCTCAGCAGAAGCTCTCCCCTTTTCTTGGGAGATGTATTTAAGCAGAGGCTGACCCTTGGTCCCTGTTGCAAGTCTGCATGTGCTTGCTCTTGAATCTCTCCAATTCTGAATCTGACCCTGATCTGGCAACTTGACTTCTAGGCTTTTAGGCTTGACCTCAGGCTTGCCTCCTCTCTACAGACCTGTTTGGCTTGTAGTGGATCCCAGATGACCCTGGTTACCATCAAGGATGTGTTCTGCTCTTCTAGCTCAGGTCCTGTGGAACAGTGCCCTTGCTGCACCCTGGCAGTCTCTAGAAGGACCAAATGGATGAACCAAACATCTAATTTTAACTATTAGGCAACATGCCTTACAGACACATGTACGCACATGTCAACATAAACACAAAGTTAGGCTTACAAAAAAGGTATAGGAAACCACCATTTACATGATCGTAATTTTGAAAGAAAAATTTGTTCTATTTCCAGTGTTAGGTGTCTGAGAAACTCTTATGGCAACAGCAGAAAGAAGTGTTTTAACAGCAGTAATATATAGCTTCTTATCACTGCCAGTAAGAACTTTCAGCGTGCTTTGCCTTACCAGTTCAACAGGGCTATTACACCCTTTAGCTACTTATTAACCTAACCAATAGTGATCAAAAAAATAAAAAGGAAATCACACCCCAAGAACCTCTAACTAATCTCAAATAATGCCATAATAATAGTAGCCAGTCCCAAGAGGAATGCTTTTTAGTTGATTTTGCAGATAGAACACTCAAACAGCTAAGCTGCATGTTTAACTGATGCTTTTCAGGAAATCAGATCATTTTCTTTCAGCATATTTGAGTTCTTTTATTGATGGGAGCACTTGCAAGTATCACAAATAGCTGGAGATATCTACAAGAAATTAATTTAATTAAAGAAAACAAAATCAAATACTTTTAAAGCCATGTAAAACATGCTAATATAGATGTTTACAAAGTATAAATCATGGATAATGTCTATGTGGTAAGTGCAAATTATTCTAATTACACAATTCAATCAAGCTGTCTGTAGATTCAAATTCCTCCTTAAAACATATGTGTTCTTTAAATTCTTTCACTATTAGCTCATTAAGCCCCAAATATAAACTTACATAAATAAATACACTTAGCATTTCAGCTTCCCACTCATGTCTCTCATCTTTCACATATATCTAATACGCACAGTCCTTATCCTTACAAAAATGGATGCAGTGAAGAAATACCCCGTGGGAAGTCACACTGATTTCAATAAAAGTTTTCATTTACGTGTCTTACAAGACTTGTAAGAATATGTAAGGGGAATAGAGGGTCTGTGTACAGACTATATGGGATGTCAGCATTAAGCACCAGTAGTTAAACTGACTGCTCTGTGCCCTGCTCTCCTGGTCCAGACTCCTCTCCTTCCCACATGCTCCACAGTAACCGTGCTTGGGGAGACTGCAGAGGGTTGGATGAGCCCAGGAGACTGGTTCACTGGTGAGAGAATAGCTTAAACTCCTAATAAGAAATCTTGCTGGATTGCCCTCTTTGTCAAAGGCCAGCCAAGCCTGGGCAGCTATGTTGCCTGTGGAAATACCAGCCTTGCCAACCCTTTGACATGCGCTTATCTGTTGGCATGAGCAGTTTCACTAAAGTCCATTCTCAGAGCAAAGTGATCTGTGTGCCTAAGTGTCGAAGAGCTGAGATTTAAAATGCTGTGCATTGTGACATTTCTGAATTTCCTTCAGCTGGCAATGTGACATTTCCGAATTTCCTTCAGCACCTGATCATTAGAAAATATCAGCAATGTTACAGCAGTGGTGAGAGTTGCAATTGGAGGGTCACGTTATTTTTGGAGCATGGAGTGCTTTGAGAAAGCCTATTTCAATTTGCGAAGTATGCTGATGCAATACGCTGCTGCTGTGCTGAGTCAACATGTCAGTTACACTTTGCCTCATCCACCATATACTATGGAATCTGAAATATCTGCTGAGCAGCAGTACAACAAACATCATTAATTAAATGTCAGTGAACCAACAGTAACCACACAGTGGCATCTAGGACATTTCTTTCCTGATTCAAGTTGAGATGAATACTGCAGAACTCAGCAACCGCAGCGCCGTAATTTTTGGTGAAAGGTGGTTTTTATTTTATGGATAACAACCACAGTAGCATTACTATTTAACATCTGTTTAACTGAACAGTGGCAACCTGTTTAACATCTTCATTAACAATCTGGATAACGGGGCACAGTGTAACCTCAGCAAGTTTGCAGATAACACAAGAGGATGAGGAGTGGCTGATGTGCCAGAGGGTTATGCTGCCATCCAGGGGGACCTTGACAGTCTGGAGAAATGGGCTGACAGGAACCTCATGAAGTTCAACACAGAGAAGTGTGGAGTCCTGCACCTGTGGAAAAACAATGCCATGCACCAGTACATGCTAGGTTCCAGCCAGCTGGAAATCAGCTTGGCAGAAAATGACCTGGTGGTCCTGGTGGGCACTAAGCTGAACGTGAGCCAGCAAAGTGCCGTTGCTGCAAAGAAGGGAAATGGTATTCTCGGCTACATTAGACAATGTATTGCCAGCAGGTTGAGGGTGGTGATCCTGCCCTTCTACTCACCACCCACCGGTGAGGCCACACCTGGAATACAGCAAACAACCACCAGGGGCTCTGGAGAAGTCTCTGTCCATGACAAATTGGCACAATGGAGCTGTGGCCTCTATTTGTCCCTGGAGCAGGAGGAGCGTAGTGATGTGTATCCTGTACTACTTCATCTTGCAGCTAGAGAGTACTTTCTAAGCACTCCCAGAGGCATCTAAAATGCTTCTGCTGATGGCTGCCTTGTAGATGTATAAATAGTTTCTTGGGCCACAGATTGAGGGCTGCTGCAGGGCACAGTCATATCTGTTCTGCTTTCCTCAGCTTTTACAGTTCAGTATGAACTTTGATTTAGAAGACTGCCATGGCCCTGTTTGTGTCACTGCCAAATATTTATTCTTCTATAATGAAGCTGTCATTTAATCTAGTATGATAGAATAATTTAAGTCAGATGGGACCTTTGGAGGCCATCTGGTCCAAAGCATTTTTTTAGTATTTCAAAGAACAGGGATCCCACAACTTCTCCAGGCAACCTGTTCTAGCGTTTTATCACCCTAACTGTAAAGAATCCTTTCCTTGTATCTAGTAAGAATTTCCCCTGCTACAACTTGCACCCATTGCCTCTCATTCTTTCCCTGTGCACTGCCAGGAAGACTACAGGTCCATCTTCTCCATAATTAATCATTAGGCTGTTGAAGACAGCCAATTAATTTCCCTCTTGGCCTTCTCTTCTCCAGGACAAACAAGCCTAACTCTCTCAGCCTCTCCATCATAGTCATTGTGCTATTGTTTCCCTGTGTCAAATATGGCACAGCAGCGTATGTCCTTTACTCCTTGAAGATATTAGTAGTATTTCATTAACCATACTTATTGATGATGCAGACCTGGCTAAGTTGGACTCAACTGTCTGTGTCTTTACTAGCTAGCATGCTTAAGGATTCCTACCATGTTAATCCTATGTAGTAGAGGCAGAAACCATTTCTAAAGGCCCAGTCCAGAGAGTACTGAAATCAAAGTAAAAACTCAGTCTTGGCTTTAAGTTGAGACACTCCTCTTTTCACAATGAAACAGAAAGAGGCGTTCTGACCACTCAGTCAGCTTAAAATTTTTGAACAGGTCCAACAAACACTTGAAAAGAGTTCTACTGCATTATGCACAAACAAGAATTAGAGACAAAATAGGTTATTCCTCATATACAGAACAGATGTACTTTCACAATGTATTCTTAAGCCTTCAGATCCCTCTGTAGTTTTCTAAGGCCCAAACAGAAGCAGATCCACTGCATCATAATATCTTATTACTCTACATGATGCTAGTAACTATTCCCATTTTCCCGGCTGCCATTGTTTCATGAAGATGGCACTGATATTTCTTGTCTTCTGTGTGTTTTAAAATGACAGCAATAATTGCTGACTATATACGGTAATGTAGGTCAATTCATGGGGTCCACCTCTAGGGCAAATGGCAGCATGGTAGGCATTACACCCTCCCTCCATCACAGACAAGGGACTTTCTCTCCAGCCACTTGATGCATATAAGTAACTGCCTACCCTCTGTGCAAGCCAGTGCTGGCAGAGCTGGCAGGATCCTACCTGTTGGACAGGAGTGGAAAAGCAGAGCACTGCAGGTGAGGGGTCTGGAGCACAAGTCTTATGAGGAGCAGCTGAGGGAACTGAAGTTGTTTAGCCTGGAGAAGAAGAGGCTGAGGGGAGACCCTATCACCCTCTACAACTGCCTGACAGGAGGGTGTAGCGAGGTGGGGGTCGGTCTCTTCTCCCTGGTAACAGGCGATAGGACGAGGGGAAATGGCCTTAAGTTGCGCCAGGGTAGGTTTAGGTTAGACATCAGGAAACATTTTTTCACCAAAAGGGTTGTCAAGCATTGGAACGGGCTGCCCAGGGAAGTGGTTGAGTCCCCATCCCTGGAGGTATTTAAAAGACAGGTAGACAAGGTGCTTAGGGACATGGTTTAGTGGTGGGATGGCAGGGTTAGGTCAACGGTTGGACTTGATGATCTTAAAGGTCTTTTCCAACCTAAATAATTCTATTATTCTATGATTACCCAGATGGAAACCACGGGCTATGCTTCTAACAAACAGACACCTTTGCCTTGGAGAATGTGTGTGATGTTGAGGACCAGGCTTGGGTACCCCTCTGACGGAGCAAGCATGCCACGCTGGTCTTTACTCAGACAAATTCCTTTGGCTTCAGTTGAAATTTGCTTGAGTGAAGACTAACAAATATCTTGGGATTTGACTACTGCATCTCATTTGCTTCCAGGAAGATGGTGATAGTAAAAATAACGATGAGAACTTTGTGATTAATGTCATGTTTAAATTTACATAAAGGACAATGCTGCACTTCAGAAATTTCTCATGCTCTTAAGGGATTTGAGTAAGTGAAAAGAGAATCTGAAATGAGAGCAGGATTTTGCCCACACTGCATTTATTTTTTTTACTACTTTCACCAGTCTAGGGAACATTAAAATTGTACTTTTGTCATGACTCTCACAGAAGAGTCCCTGATTCTTATGTTTTGTTTTGCTTTGGTTGTTGGGTGGTTGGTTGCTTTGGGGGGGTTTGTTTTGATTCTTTTTTTCTTCTTACTATAACCACTTCTGTTATCTTGGGATTTTTGCATGTGGGTGGATGGATGTGATGGTAAACAGTTGAACCAGTTCAATGAGAACCCTGTGAGCTGC